CTGCCACCCTTGCTCCCTCCCTCCATCCCCTTTTTTTTTCTCCGTTTTTTTTTGTTTTTTTTTTGTAACCATCTTCATCGGTAAATACATACCATACATATAAGACAATTAATTAATTAAATATGATAATGAAACGAAGAAAAAAAACAGAAAAAAAAATTTTTTTTGGTTTTTTAAAAAGAGAATATTCATAATTAAAAGTGACATTTACCGCCTCCTCAAGTCTATTTTATATACAGATTTTTCAATCAGATTTAAATAGAATACAAATAGAATCCACAAGTTTTTTTTTAAATCTGAAATGAAACTGAATAGTAACACTAATAAAAATAAGTGTCTGAGTAAAATCAGTCGGTGATATATACCTTGATGCCTCCGAATACCGTGATATGGTTGAAGGTGAGTAGAATTCGCTGTCCCATTAGAAATGTGAATGTTCAGCGTTGGAGATGAAGGATCTACCTAGGGGAATTGGGAAACCATCATTTCAAACCAATGATGTATATGGACTCTAGGATCCTGAAGGAACAAATGGTATATGAACCAATTGTTGGTCACCGGTTACCATGAGATTACATCTCTTAACGTTTTGCTAACTGCGTTGTGGATCAAACCTTTAGGTCAAAGAATCTGGTTGTAGCCGTTTTACGAAAACCACCTGCTTCAGTTTCAGCACCGGGGCAGTATCACAGCACACTCACAAATTAAGTGAACTGTGTGGCAGATATGTATTTTGGTGACTCTTAGTACCAATAATTATGTATTCAGATAAATAAACAAATAAATATCATATCACGATATGAACAGTATCAAAAATCCTTTTGAAAATATTATTATTATTATCGCAGTTAGAAGCATGGTTCAATCTAACTTATAACAAATTATCAGTCCAACCATACATTATATAAGTAATTTGCAAACTATCAATCAATTGTCTCAATCTTCAATGTTTCGTCTGCAAATATCAGTCCATCGTCTCTAATTTCATTGTTCAAGCACTTTCGTATCAGTTACATTCCGTTCCTGTTCTTTCCTTATCTATCTTCTATTGAATATATTCAGTGACCGATTATCGTTATATACTACTTATGTGGATATAAGTAGCCAACATCACAACATAACCTTAATCAAAGTATTTTGATGTTAAGGAAGTTTAAGTATTCTAATTTGAGAAGATTATACTTCATAGTTCTATAGTTGTTTAAAACAGTTGTAAAACACATAGTTATTTGACTTGTATTATATAGGATGTTAATTGCTGTACGATTCTTAATCTATTAATTATAAGTTTAGTTGAAAGCATGAGTCAATTGAAACCAGACCACCATGGAAAACCTTGAAACACTGAACGGCCGTTTCGTTCTATTATGGGACTCCTCAGCAATGCGTATCCACCATCCCGTCTCATGAGATTTAAACCCAGGACCTGGAGGACATCAACTCACTGAAGACATTAGTGGATGTGTCGCTCTATTTCGTGGATTGGTTGGAGTTAGACATTAACACCGTTGAATGCCAGCTAAGTGGTCTATCGAGTTAAGCGCTCACGCGCGAAACTGATAGGTCCTGAGTTCGGAAAATACGATACCGTCCGTCCATTACTTTCAGGATTTCCATGGTGGTCTAGCTCCAATGGACTCATGATTTCAACTTTGAAATATACTGAAATCTCCACAAATCTCCTTCTGATTATAAACGGGGACTTGTTGAAATACTTTGTACTAAGAATTCTATATTGTACCAATAATATAATATTGAATAAGGCCACTAATAATAATATAATTGAATAAAGTGAATCTTTTTTAAGTAAATTACACGTACTAGTGAAATCTCTGATCTTCTATGATAATGACAGTAAATCCAAGATAACTGGTACTCTTCTCTATCAATAAAAAATATAGAATTTCTATGATTTCATCCATTTTTTAAAAAAATCATCAATTCACTTATCAAATCGTACATAAACATAACTAATAAATAGATCAGCTAACTCTGCTTATAGCTCTACTAGAATTGCTGTCGATCCTAAGCCCGAATAAAGGAGGAGGATTGGACATGAAGTTAGCGATCCCATCTCATAGAAAACTAACTCGCTAATAATAAACGTTAATCCAGTAAATAGGTCAGCTCAATAATTCAACTTTTGAAAAATTTTAAGAATGTTTCCACCTATCGAAAAGAAGATGATTGATATGTTTTCATAAGTAATAGTTAGTGACATTTATCTTAATTCTTATATTTATTGGATAGACTATGTATCTATAATTTGAATAATAAATACCGATATTCCCATAAACAGATGAAGACAACTAATATAGTAGCAGTCTCTAAATCAGTAGGCTTCAATATAAACAAAGAGAAAAACAACACCCTTGATGAACCTCAAGGCAATCATACTTGATGACGAAACTCTAGAAGATATGGAATCTTTCACGTACCTGAGTAGCATAATTGATGAATATGGAAGATCTCATTTAGACGTAAAGGTGAGGATTGGCATAGCAAGGACCGCATTTCCACAATTGAAGAACATATGAAACTCAAAGCAACTGTCAACTAATATCAAAGTCACAATCCTCAATACGAACGTCAAGACAGTTTGTAGTATCAGTTTATATGTTAAGCCCATATACTTTATTCTAGTTGCTGGCCAAGTTAATTCGCCTATCCATTATGAGTCACATTTTGATCTTGTTAATCATTTGCTTATTAACCTTGACTATACTTTTATATGAGCATATATGTGTACACTTCGTATCTCATTCATCATATGTCTGTCACTCATTTTTGTCCGACTATAAATATTGAGTAATGCTTACTCATATCGAGTTGGCTTCCCAGCCATCTCCCATGCATGTCATTTTTACTTCGCTGGCTAACATTTGCTCATGTGCTCACTGCCTTCTAGCCTATGTTATTCGACAATAAACTATAGTTGCTGCTTGCGGCCTGCTTGAATCCCTGGGCTACCTGTTTCTGCCATCTAAATATTTCAACAAGTTATCTGGGTTTTTTAAAAATTGGTTTTAACCTATCATTATGTCTCTTGATCGCATAACCTATACAGGCGCGTTTATGAAAAGCTTACGTCCTTTCGCTGCAAAAATTACAAACAAGTACAATAAGAGACATTGTGGTGTTTGGCAATATGCTTTAGAGAGAATAAACATTAATCAAATGTCGATTCCCGAGCTGCTTAACTCTAACTGTCGATCTCTAATTAACAAGGTGGACTATCTCCAATTTCTGCTAAGTCAAGACATGTATCGTAATTGTGGTGTCATCACAATTCAAGAATCTTGGTTGACTGACTTACAGGATTATTGCCTAGTATCATTACGTGATTTTAATATCTATCGTCAGGATCGATCAAACAAAAAAAAGACCTGTGGTGGCGCAGAAGCAACTGGGTTTTTTTGTTTTGTGTTTTTTTTGGTAAAAACAAACTTGTTGAAATAACTCGTGCTGAGAATTCTATATTGTACCAGATTATAATATTGAATAAAGCCATTAATTATTATTATTATTATTACCTTTGTCTTCTGATTTTACGCACCGTTAAGATTAGAATAATAACGGTTATCGAAGTAAACGATTAACGAATCGCAGCACTACAAGTTCGGTGAGACTAAAGAACATGGACGAGCCAATCAGAAGCTTTCGCGGGTTTTCAAGGTCACGGCGCTAAGTTCGGTACCTGACGATTACGTACGGTCGGTTTACAACGGATTTTAGAGAAAACATGATAATTAAGCATCTACAAGATAAGTTATCATAAGATGTTGGCGCAAAGCTCAATTATACATTTGGATAGAGTTGTGGCATTATAGCTGATGTCAGTTCGTGATGAAAACCCTTAGTATAATTCTTAACCTTAACCATGAACTGTAAATCATAATTTGAATTCTTAACAAAGGTTTATAACCCTCATTTAGTCTTAGTTATTACGTTGACACTCTCAGATTCACTCTAGCGTCGCTCAAATGTCGTCCATAATTTATAGTCTCATCCTTAACCCTAATCCTAAACCCTAAACCATACCAACGTACCGACAACACTGAAACTATGTGGTCGAGGCTGAAAGAATTTCCGGGACTTTATCATGGTTCCAGAGGTCGACTATTATGGAGCCATAGGGATGAGTTCCTGTGCCGGATGCACTATGATTTTAGAACTTCTGAACCTATATCTGACCTTGATAAGTTTTTGTTTCATGTAAAAGAACAGTATCCCCTTTAATTTTTGAGTTTTGTATAATATATTTTTACTGTATGCTAACTGTCTTCTGATTGGCTAATATTTCTCAAGGTCATTTAAGATTCGTTCAAAGATCGTCCATGTTCTTTAGTCTCGCCACAGTTGTCTACACAAGATACTCAATATCAGATGGTCGGATACCATCAACAACAACGTTTTATGGGAGAGGACAAATCAGCTTACAGTTGAAGAGGAAATTACGAAAAGACGTTGGAAGTGGATAGGACATATATTAAGGAAATCATGAAACTGCATCACGAGACAAGTGATAACCTGGAATCCTGAAAGGAAACAGAAAAGAGAAAGGCCAAAGAACATACCACTTTAAGAATTGGAAGCAGACATGAAAAGGTTTAATAGTAACTGGAAACAAGTGGAAAAAATTGACCAGGACATAGTTGAATGTAGAATGGTGATGGGCGGTCTATGCTCCTCCATAAAGGATAACAAGCGTAAGTAATAAAACTAAGCAAGTGAAAGTATACACTATAATCATTATCCTTATGAATAGAGTATACATTCATAATAATACCAATGATTACTAATTTATATTCATCTATTTCAAATGTGTTCATCATTCCCTTTTTATTTAATTGTTTTCCATTGAATTCAATATGAACGGTACTTTATCAGACAATGAATGAATAGAAAAAGGGAACTAGAAATATTACCGTCTGTCTAGAAAAAATTATTCAAAAAAAAACTTAATCACAACACATGTACCAAAAAAACATATCGAGATTTCATATACTACTATTATTACTACTATTATTAGTAGTATTACTATCATTACTATTATTACCACTATTATTAGTAGTATTACTATTATTACTACTATTATTAGTAGTATTAGCATTATTATTACTGCTGTTATTACTATTACTACTACTACTACTATTATTGGTAGTAGTAGTAGTATTATTTGTAGTGCTATTATTACTATTACTACTACTATTATTAGTAGCAGTAGTATTAGTATTACTACTATTACTATTATTATTATTATTATTATTATTATTATTATTATGAATAATGTCCAGACATAGGTTAATCATAAAATAATTTCAGACATGTAACAATCACCAATGTAATCAATTGTAATTGAAACAATTAGATAGGACTTTCTCTCTCTCTCTCTCTAACTCTCACTCTCGCACTCTGTGTGTGTGTGTGTGTGTAAAATCATACATAGTAACTAGACAATATTTGTTTGTATTAATACTAAATTACTAATTAATCATTATAATTTGTACATTTGGAAATGTATAAACGATTGGTTTTAAACTGATTGTTTAAAAAAATACAATAATACAGAAGTATTTCTTGAAGTTCTAGTAAGAAGTAGTAACTAGTGGAGTTCAACCAGGTCTGTTGGGAGATAGTAACTCATTGAAGATATTGGTGAATAATTGCTCAATTTCGTGGATTAGTTGAAGTTAGACATTCACGCTGTTGGATACCGGCTCAGTGGTTTAGTGATTAAGTACTCTGGTGCGAGACTGGTAGGGTCCTGGGTTCGAATCTCGTTAGGTGAAATCGTGGATATGCACTTTTGAGGAGTCCTACAATAGGACGAAACGGCCGTTCAGTGATTTCAGATTTTCCATGGCGGCCTAGCTTCAATTGACTAATGCTTTCAACAGTAATAATTTTTAATAGTTAAGATAATGAGTTCATTGAAGCTAAATCATCATGGAAGCATTAGATGATCGTTCCATTCTATTATGAAACTCCTCTTTGATAGTGTACATCCATGATTCCGTTTCATGAGATTTGAACTCAGGACTTATCAGTTTGACAAAAATATGATTGATAAAGTATAGATTGTCTAATTTAATTTATTACATATAGATACATGACTCAGAATCGGTCACATTGGAGTAGATGTACACACTCTCTGTCTTCCCTTAAACCTTGAGATTAAAATTGCTTCATACCTTTCTTTCGTCTTGTACTATATCCTTATATACAATTTTTCTTTTATATATTACCACCATTAAATGAATTTGCTGTTCACCCTGTTGTGCTAGTGAGGTTATGGTAATTTGGACTGATGTATATATGTGCCTGGTCCTACATTGTAGCTGACTGACTGACTGACATGGATACATCTATTTTTTTGTGTACCTCCAATTCATGTATTATATAATATTTGATTTGAAAATAGGATAGAATCCTGATTTAAACAAACAATACTAAGTTAAATTTAAACTTCACCCCATCGCACAAGCAAGTGGCTATCAGGGCTCGGTGGCTGAGTGGATAACGCGATAGCGTTTGAAGTGAGGGTACTGGGTTCGAGTCCCAGAGTGAACATCAACTCTGAGATGCAGGTACATCCAGCTGACGAGTCCCAAATAGGACGAAACGCGCGTCGAACTGGATTCCACTGCTAGCCACTATCCATCTTTGCTATGACTAGAAGAGTTGGTGAAGTTGTTTGTGTGTTGATTTACTACTATCTCCTATTTGTACAATACATAAAATCACTGAACAATGAATGAAATAAAATCAAGACCTGGTTATCTTATATTTGATTGTGAAAATGCGATATGTGCTACTAATATCAATAGATATATGTAGTATGTTTCATCAATCGAAACTGAAATGTTTGGTGGCAGATAATTAAGGAGATCAAAGAAGAGAGAACGAAAACAGAGAATGATTACTGTGTGAACGAAGGAACAATGAAGTGTGAGATGACTGGTTGGCATTTTGCAAATGAACTATTTACTGTATGGTTATCAGATTTCACTAAGATGTTTAAATACATTCGATTGTCCCCTCCAGCACACTTGTATCCCCGTTCACTACACAACATCCTAGATCAAGAACTAAATCCGAAAAGAATGTTTTTTTCTTATTTGGATGTATGACGATAACTACCTTATTTCTCTATATTTAATAAAAGTACAGTATCCAACATATTTGAATAATTTTTCATCAGTGAGTACTGCGAATAAGAGCACTTTTATAAACACTCTACTACGGGAATTATTATTATTTAAACACATATATTGGTACAAAGGGGTACCAGATACATATGCGCCACACAAATCTCATTTGTTTTGTGTCAGGGCTGTGATACTGCCTGGGTGCCCAAACCAAATCAGATGGTATTCTTAGAGCGCGACACCCGGAGCCTTTGACCTAACGGTCTGATCCACAAGACAGTGGAGCATCGTGAGGAGATGCAGTCTCATGGTAGTCGGTCACCAACAATTGGTTCATACGCCATTTGTCCCCTCAGGATACTGGAGCCTATGTGCACCATTGGTTTAGAATCAGGTTTTCCAACTCCCCTAGGTGGATCATCGGTATCCACCAACCTGGTTAAAGCGCCGGACATTCGCTTTTCGTCCTCTCAATTTCATGAATAACACCCCCCAGTGAGTAAGACTTTCCTTGATAGAGACTGTATTCGTGTGGCTATGTAAGAGCATTTCGAGAGAGAGAGAGCTGACTCTTGCCACTCTCTGCCGTACCAGAGCATTTAGGTGCTTACTATAGTAAATAACAAACTAGTAGATAAAAAAGTAAATGAAATAATAATCAAAACTTTAAATGAAATCCTACTCTTACATAATACAATCATAGATTAAATGAACAGAAAAAAAGAACCCAACCCTCAACCCCACCCCCTAAAATACATTGGATACTACACACAATATATTGATTATTAGACAATGGATACGCTAAAATCTTATCCCTAACTAAATCAATCAACATGAAAATACAAGTATTCGGCTGTAATCTAGAAGTAAATAACACAGTTTCCAGAATTACTTATGTCAGTGTTTCTTTTTCCTATTCTTTTTTTTCTTTTTTCTTTTTTCTTTTTTTTTGTGGTTTTTATTCAAGCTATATACAGATCCCCTTTTCAAATGTCATTTATACCTTTACATTAATTGACTATACCAAAACAGTAATCTATATACATACATACTAGAAGATAAACAAACATAAACTTTGTATACTCGATTTGATTTTTTTTTCTTTTTTTGTTGTTTTTTTTTTTATGGTATGAAAGGGGGAGGGATGATAATGGCTTGATCAATTATAACTTACTATAATGTGTCTATAACTAAGGTGAACGTGTCCAAAATACTGGTAATATACTAATCATAACCTTAGATATAAGAAAATTGGTTCTCATTTTGTTGTTTGTTAGTTCAGCAGTTCAACCCTACCCCCCCCCTCCCTATTTTTTTTTAGTATTTTTTATTCTTATTTACCTATTTTTTTTCTTCTAAAATTGTTTGTTTTTTTCGTGCCTAAATCTTAGTAACATTTTTTTTCTAAAATGTAGGTTGTTTTGCTTTTTTTGTTGTTGTAAAGATGTCTGATTTTCTTTTTTTTTTGATTTCTTTTTTTTTCATTTTTTGTTGATTCAATGTATAAGTTAAGATAAGAAATAGTTATCTATTTCAGAAAGGGGTATTTTTATGGATATTATAGTAATTTTAATAGTTGAGATTATGAGTCAATTAAAGCTAGATCACCATGGAAAAGCCTGAAAGCACTGAACAGCTGTTTCGTCCTAATGTGGAACTCCTCAGTGCCAGCATACATCCATGATCATGATTTTACGAGATTCGAAGCCACGACCTATCAGTTTTCAGGTTTTCGATGGTGATCTAGCTTCAATTGACTCATGATCTCAACTATTGAAATCACTATAATATACACAAAAACCTCTTCAACATATGCTCACTAGTGACTGGCTTCAAGTGGTATTTCCTAGAGTATTAGTGAGAATCAGTGACCAGTTGAATTCAACGGGCTCTGTTGTGAGATAGTAACTCACTGAAGGCAATGGTGAATGCGTCGCTCAAATTCGTCGATTTGTTGAAGTTAGACATGAACACTGTTGGATGCCGGCCAGTTCAGTGGTGTAGAGGTTAGGCATTCGCGATGGAGACTGGTAGGTCCTGGGTTCGAATCTTGTGAGGCGGGATCGTGTATGCATACTGCGGAGGAGTCCCATACTAGGACAAAACGGCCGTCTATTGCTTCTAGGTTTTCCATAGTGGTTTTAGAAAAGTTGTAAACATCTCAGTTCACTGAATAAGTCCTCTTCAAACATTCATTTTTCAATGACTTAGATGTATAAAACTGTGACTTGTTATCCAGTAATGAAATAAATGTACAACTAAAGATTATACATTAATTAGCTATGTTCACTGATACTCTTTAGCACATCATTATGTTAGATTATTATATTCAGAATCAATACAGTGCCCTGATACGATCGAGAGTGAGGAGAGTCAGCTCTTCCTCTCAACATCCTCTCACATGGCCACCTGCATACAACCACTGTCAGGGAAGTCCTACTCACTGCCGTCTCGCGGCATCACTGCTGTTAACAAAATTGAGAGGACGAATGTCTGACGCATTAACCGAGTTGGTTTATGTGGATAATTCACCTAGAATAATTGGAAAACCATGATTCCAAACCAATGGTGCACATAGGCTCCATGATTCTAAGGAAGGAAGTAGCGTATGAACCTACTGTTGGTTACTATGAGACTGCATCTACTTACTTTGCGCCACTGACTTATGAATTAAACCTTTAGGTAAAAGGCTCAAAGTGTGGCCTACTAAGGAAACCACCTGCTTCAGTTTCGGCACCCGGGTAATATCCCATCCCTCACATAAATCATTCGATTTATGTGACGTATATGTATTTGATGCCTCGTTTTATCAATGTTTATACGTTTAAGTAAAGAAATAAATAAGTGGTGCATATGCTGGAGATGAAGGATCTACCTAGGGGAATTGGGAAACCATCATTTCAAACCAATGATGTATATGGACTCTAGGATCCTGAAGGAACAAATGGTATATGAACCAATTGTTGGTCACCGGTTACCATGAGATTACATCTCTTAACGTTTTGCTAACTGCGTTGTGGATCAAACCTTTAGGTCAAAGAATCTGGTTGTAGCCGTTTTACGAAAACCACCTGCTTCAGTTTCAGCACCGGGGCAGTATCACAGCACACTCACAAATTAAGTGAACTGTGTGGCAGATATGTATTTTGGTGACTCTTAGT